TGATAAATAATGTTACTTTTTTAATATTAAGGGTAACTATTTATATTGACAATTTTCAGTTTATCAGTAATAATTAATATTATGCTTTTGTAATTAATTATTTTTTTATTACTATTAATTGCTAATATTAACATAATATGAATATTATGTTAGTATTTTCTTATTATTAATTATTAATAATAATATTAATTATTAATATTTTTAGTAGTATTTGTTATAAAAATTAATAATGATTAATTAATTTTTAGTGAATATCAAAAAATTAATATTTTATTAATAATATGTGGTAATAATGAATTATTTATTAATTAATTAATCATTAGTATTAATAATTATTAATATTAATCATTATTATGGTAATGTGTTGATAGTTTTTTTTGCTATTTATATTAATTTTAGGTAATTAATATTTTTTCTAATGTGGGGTAACTATTTATATTGACAATTTTCCGTTTATCAATAATTATTAGTATTATTTTTTTGTAACTAATTAACCTAGTATTAATAATATCTTAATATTTTCTAAATATTATATTCATATTACTTTCATATTTTAATAATATTAATTATTAATTTCTTATTACTATTAATATTAATTATATTTTTTAATAGTAATTATTACAAAAATTAATAATGATTCATTAATTTTTAGTGGATAAAAAGACTCAATATTTTATTAATAATATATGGAAAATTTCTGTTTATAAGCAATTCTTAATATTATGTTTTTGTAATTAATTAAAATTTTATTGATATTTACTGTAATATTTTTATTAATATTCACCTAATATTAATATTGTGCTAATATTTTGTAAATATTATATTAATATTATTTTAATAATTATTGTTAATATTTTGTAACATATTAATATTATGTGTTGATTTTTTTTGGTATTTATGCTAATTTCTAGTAATTAATATTATTTTTTTGTAATATATGTTGACAATTTTCTGTTTATTAGTAACCTAATTTATTAATATTAACCTAATATTAATATTATGTTAATATTTTGTAATTATTAAATTAATATTATTCTAATAATAATTGTTATCGAAAACAGATCGATTATTTGAAAAACGGATCACGTAGGGTCGTGATGACCACTTATCGAAAACGGGTCGACACTAACCCGCTACACATTATCGAAAATGGACCGACATTTCCCATCGACCCATTTCCCATCATCATCCTCACCTGACTGTACAAAACGGGTTTCCAAACCATTTTTTGACCAATTCTTTTGTCTTTTCGGTGCAGTTTTTCTTCCTAAATACACATATACTCTTCCCACTATATAATGAACTGAAAAAGACTAAGAAAAAGTACTCCACCTGAAAAACTGTCTCTACTCCTGGTTTTAGGAAAAAAAAAGAAACATGTTTACAGTTAATTAGTAATAGCTAAAGAACAAAGGAGACGGGAACAGTGCAGTTCCTCTTCCTCTTGGTCCAAAATGCACTCTCCTTCACGAAAGATATGTGAAATCAAGGGTGAATCCGGGTTCATGGTGTAATACCCAGAAAAAAAAAAAAAAAAAAAAAAAAACACTAAGATTAGTAATGGGAGAGTGGGTGTTGTAGGAATGGGATGTTTGGAATTTCTTTTTAAGGGGGGATTTCTTAGCAAAAAGGAAAAATGTGTTTACAAAAGAAAACATAATCTATTTAGCTAATGCAATAACTCTTTCCTCTTTTTTTTTTTTCTTTTTAGAGTTAAGAGAAGGTGAAGACAATCCATCATTGGAGAATCAAGTTGGGGATTTATCTCAATGATTTTTGGCATCAAACAACTCTTCAGGTAAGTCTTTTTCTCCATTGGATTTTCGTTTTTCGTTTTTTTGTATATTAAACTTAAAATTAGAATTTTTGTCGGATGATCATTTCCTAGACAATTTCCAACAATAAAAATAGTTTTAATAGAGACTTCTAGACATTAGGAACTGATGTCGCACGATCTAGCTCCTCTCGCGTTTCTGATGATTCAGACTCTAATTCGGATTATACCTTGTCAAGCCGAGTTGTACTAGGCCGAGCTGGTTTTGTTCTACAAGTGGAAGAGTTAGAGTGCCCGGGTTGTCTTTACTCTGGGTAGGCACTCCGATGCTTAAGTTAGAGAGTGTTTGAGAGTCTTTAGAGAATGAGAGAGCTTGAGAGTTTAAGAGCTTGTAATCGTGCGTACCTTCACAGGTAGAAATGAGTGCCTTATACAGGAGTCAATGGTCTGAGCCTTTTTACAACGGGTCTCATCTTCTCGCAGAGCCATTTCTGCTTAGTCAGGTGAGTTATTACATCTGTTACGAGATCTATGCGGGGGTTACGATGTGCTCGAGTAACTCTGAGACGTACGGTGCAGTAGGCTTATCTAACGGTCTCGGCATTAATGTTCTGGAGATCTCGGGCTGGTAACGTATCTTTGGGACAAGTCAACGGGCTTGCCTGGCAAGTCGCCATAAATTCCTACAGCCCAACTGACCTCTGAGGTAGGTGGCCATAAGTTGAGAAACCTGTCATCTCGGCACGACTGAGGTGGAGGTCGGCCTGGGCGAGGTGCTTTAGGCTAACTTGCCAAGTTGGTTCGCTTACTCAGCATTGAGGTGTCATTTTGCAGGCCACGTGTCACAATGTGATTTGGAGGACCAAATTATCCCTCATCAGGAACCCAACGAATTCAACTTTGTGTCTTTTGGATTTGTAGATAGAAAGCTAGGTTGAATTTCGGATTGAAACACAAGGGACGTCAGTTGAATTTAGGCTGCTGAAAATCGGCATTCTGGTGATGTTTTTTATTAGATTTTGGTTCTAGATTGTAGTTCTTGATGAGATCTTCGAAAGGGTACCTAAATCTCCTCGTTTGATTTTTTGTACTAAAAGTTATGAATTTTTAAAGTTAGTATCCTAAATTTGCTCAAATCTGGGAATCCGAGACAATTCTAGAGACCAGTCGTTTTTAGGCTACCAGAAAGGGGTAGTCCAGTGATCTCTTTAGATGGGAGTAATGTTTAAACTGTAATGGGCTGTGAGACCTTCATGACAATATATCATACTACAAAACAACCTTTTGAACCAGAAGTTCTGAGTCTTAAGATTTGGATCCTTGAACACAACAAATCTGAAATTCTTGGAGTCTCAAAACCTAAGCTAGTAAACTACTAGAGATTTAGGTAGACTAATACAATAAGTTTATAGTTTTTACATGACAAATTTATCAATATAAGTTTTGAAATTGGTGGTGACAATTATTCGTTGATTTATAGGCTTTTGGATATATCGTGACTCACTTGTATTGGTACTTTGGACTCACATGTTGGGATCCAAGCATGTGAATATTATGAATTCAGAATCTAGATGATGTTTTTTTTTTTTTGACTATTGTGAATCACCAATATTAGACACATTGTTATTCCTTAAAAGAAATAATGACTTTTTCTTAGTTGTTATTCTTGGTTTAGCTATGTTGTTATTTCCATGATAAATTCCTTTGTGAGACCCATATTTGTGGATTGATGTATCTGTTATATTCTAATAATATAGGACTACGCTTTAGACCCTCCCATTGGGGATGAATACGATGGCATCTTGGACTAGTCCATTTTGAATTTGGGCCCTTGCCATAGGGCATATATGTGGTCCCTTATCACTGGGGTTAAAGTGGTTATAGTTTAATATATGACTATGCACCAGAAACCTGCCATTGGGGATGAATACGGTGGAATCTTGAGACTAATTCATTTTGAATTTAGGCCCTTACCACAGGGCATATATGTGGTCCCTTATCACAGGGGTGAAAGTGATCGTAGTCTACTTTTGTGAAAATTTCTTTGTGACTTTGAATTTAAATTTAAATATATCAACATCGGTCCACGACATATGTTTCATCCAACTTGTTCTTATGATTTGGTGAGCTGTTAGAAAGTTTGATATTTTTTTTGAGTATGTAGATTTCTCTTCTCCAAGACAGATTAAGTGGTTAGAAAACTTATCTTTTGAATGATATGATGATTTTATGAATTATTTATTATTATTAGTATTATTATTTTCTTCTACATGCTTGATCCAACCGTGAAAATGAAATGTTACTTATTGAGGGTTGTACTCATTATTCTCACTTTTCTTCCTTTTATGATGTTGAAGCAGAATAGCTACTGTTTGGAATTACTTGAGAGAGAAAGTGCTAGTACAAACTTGTAGTAGACTTTATTAGCTAGATTTTAGATTTATTTTGTATTTTTTTTTGGTGCAGTCAAGAGTTTTCACTAAAACCTTAAACATTTAATGAAACTCAAGTTGTTAGAGTTTATGATTTTACATTTGGTTTATGATTTATTTTGATTTAAAGTTATTGTCAGAATTTTGGATTTCTTTATGAACAAGTAAAACCTTAGCAGGTGGCATTGTCTCATGCCTAACCTTGATTGGGGCATGACACACCAATGTGAGGCGAGCACAACACCCTTTTTGAATCTAGCAATTCCATTAACGTCAAGTTTGGTTCACACTCCCGTTAAGCGAGTCAATCTGGTTCAATTGTTTAGAAAAAGATAAAATCATATGAAACAAATCTTTTGCCTCTCATTCGTTCGAATTCCCCTTTCTTCCATTTTCATTTTCACCCGAGCCCTACCACCAACGGCAAATTCACCAAGCTCTGACGACGTAGAGTCAACTAGCGGTAAGCATTTCTTCTTCTCCTTCCCCTTCCAACCCTGTTATTCCTCTTCCTTAATATCTTCCTCCTTCCTCTTCTTCTGGCAGGAGACTACCGGTGACGATTTCACTATTTCGCCGAGTACCAACCTTCAACTTCATGATTCTCATTGCAGTGAATATCCTTTTAAGATCTATGATTCTTATGGCCTGGTTCCCTCCCACCTTCTGTGTATACAGTTAAATTTAACCGTCACGGCTGTTGTATAGGTAGCCCCAAAAGATCAAGAAAGGTTTCCACACTTATCATACTAGTTATTCATTTACATTGGTTACCAAGTTTTCTCGATATCATAGTTGGTCATTTTGTGAAAAATGAATATAAGTTAACTGTTCAACACACAAGACAAACAATAAATAACAGAGCACACTTTACTACTATTCACATTACATAAATTTAGTTCAATAAAAATCAAACATCAATCCATTTTTTGTGGATCCAATCCCCATCCCAGATTCTGAAAGTGGTAATCAATTATAGATAACACAGAAGTAGACCATGGAACTTGAACCACAACTATGTGTTCCTCAAACGTAAATGGCACCTCTTCACTATTAATTAAACAAACTTTTTGTTTTTTTTTTTTTTATGCAAACAACCTCATCTCTCTGGTTCCCCTCACTCCAATTCGAATTGAACTTGTCTCGTCATCCTACTCCAGTGATTGAATGGCACCATTGGTATTAAGCATGTCGACTAATCCAATAGGAGCAAATTGGATTTTTCTCGATAATAACTTCATCAGAGAAACTGTAAGAAGCTCGAAATTAAAAGGCTCCAATGAAATCTCCATATGTTCCCATCACTTCAAGGGCATCAACTTCTTTGCATGGAACATATAAACAACAAACACTTGTACCCCTTCAATGGAAATCAAGTTCTTTCCATTTTCCATTCAATATTGTTTGGGTTCGTCGTAGCCAACACAGCATGCGAAAACTCGGAGGCACAATTGTTTCTTCGAGCTTGACGGCACCAACCTTCCGCTAGCTGACATGCCACCAAAATTGGAAGGCAACCGTTGTCGGAGCTTGGTTAAACAATGAAATCACTGCCGGTGGTCTCCTGCCAAAAGAAAAGGAAGAAGATACTAACAAAGATGAATAACGTGGTTGAAAGAGAAAGGAGAAGAAATTAAGTTTACCGCCAGTTGATTAAATGTCGTTGGAGTTCGGTTAAATAGTGAAATCGCCGTCAATAGTCTGTTGCTAGAAGAAGAGAAAAGAAGAAGATATTAACAAAGAGGAATAACAGAGTTGGAAGGAGAATGAGAAGAAGGGATTCAGCTTATTCTTATCGCCAGTTGGCTCCATGCCGTCAGAGCTTGGTGAAATTGTTGTCAGTGGTATCTTGCTCTTGGGCTAGGACTTGGTGAAAATGAAAATGGGGGAAGGGGAATTCAAACGAATGAGAGGAAAAAAAGGCTTTTAATTGGTGGTTTTATCTCTTCCCAACACTGAACCGGACTGATTCACTTAACGGGAGCGTGAATCGAACTTAACATCAACGGAACTGTTAGATTTGAAAAGGGCGACATGCACGCCTCCCATTGGAGGGTGCACGCTGGATTCGAACTCTGTAAAATCTGTGTTCCTTCTTTTCGTCCAAAATGCTCGAAAGAAATTTTGAGGTTCTAATTGCTCACGATTTAGGAGGTTTAATGTGATAATACTCTTCGAATAGTGATCAAGCATAACTCTAAGAAAGTCTTAGGACGTGGCCAAAACAAATTACAGGTTGAGGAAGGTGATTCGTTGGAATTGAAATAACGTGGAATAAAAAAAATAGAAAATTAAAAAAAGGAAAAATTTTCTTCAGTGTTTTGGTATACATATATATAGATAGATTGATTGATAGATAAATTACCAAATATCAACTATGATAAAAAATTAATAGATGCATCGATTTATTACTACGAAATTTGCAAGCAATTGTCACGCCACTGGCCTCAATAATGGATTTCATTTTTCAAAAGAAAAAAAAAATACCGTTTGCCCAATTATCAGCTGTAAGAGAGTCAAAGACCCGTTGAGTCAAAGTCAAAGATCTGGTCTTAGTCAAACTTTTGATAGTCAAACTCTGAAAGGGCGTCCTCTGGGCTCTGGCCCCATCCGACTTCCCGCCTTCTATACACTAAAGGGCAGGGATCTCACGGTTTAATTACCTTCATATCATGTATGGTTTAATAACTTTAATTACGTTTTGACCCTTTTGCCAGCCCTCTGATCCCAATCCAAACACAATCGCCTTGGATACCATTTCACCACCAAGATAAGAGCGACAGACACACGTGTTCCTCTGGACGGAGACGAAAGTGCGCATTGTTTTCTGTGTTGCACCTCACGTGCTCGGTCATACAAAGAGGACCGATCCAGTGTTTACTTTTAAAACAGGTTGGCCAGTAAAAGTAGTACTTTCAATTTCATCAAATGCTCATGATGGGTGGTCATCAGACGTTGGAATTGCATCATAAAGTTGTTTTATCTACGGCTTGCCAAAACGACGGATGCAGTGGTTACACGTCATGCTTGTCGTGGCCCACAACAAAACAACGGGAAACGTGTTAAAGAAGCAACCGACATAGCCGACCTAAACCGACCAACGAGGAAGCAGCCATATCAGAACCCAGAAACTTTCTCCCGTCTACCTCCATTGCTGACCGACGCGTGTACTGTCCTAACGGCTATTTTTGGCCGAGTAGATGGACAACCGAGTTCGGATCTTACCGCCACGTCAATATTAAAACAAAGTACACTCGCTGGATCCTATGAATCCCTTTTTTTTATATTCTGCTGTTAGCCACATGTCATCTGTTCATTGGACAACAGAGGTCCAGCCACGCCAACATCGCTCCAACAAGAACAAGGGCCGAGGGCGGCTAAAACGCGGAGATTTTTCTGTGTGTATTAAAGGAAGTGAGGATTTATTAATAAAAGGAAAATAAAGGGGAAAGCAGAAGGCTTTGACGGTTTATCGATCAACGGTGGTTTTGCAGTTGAGAGTTGCGAGATTGGTGGGTCTCTCTGGTGTAGTTGGAGTTTATTGAAAACTTCTCGATTTCAATTTGCAAGTTCCCTATTGGTTATTTTTGAAATCGGTCTCAGGTTTATCAGGTAAGAATAGGGATGGATTCATTGTTTGATTTTTCTTCTTTTTTGCTTGTTTTCATCAAGGGAGATTCTTGAGTATTCTTCGTTTTTCGTTTTTTCTGGGTTTGTATTTGTGCGGTTAGAGTTTGGTTTTGAATGCGTTGATTCAATGGCGTTCGGGTGCCATATTGATTTTCTCCAATCCAATGTGGATGGTTTCTAAATAAAGTTTCGTTCGTTTCCTTATTTGGTTTCGAATTGATTCTTCATTTATTGCGAATTTCGAATATTCTGTTTGATTATAGCCATTCTTATTTGTAACTTTTTTCTGTGATGCAGAGAAGAGGAGGTTATTCTTGTGTTTCCATAGAAATCCAATCTTGGTGGAAGGATCTAGGACTGGGAGTGTGGTCGATCGGAACTTGAAAAGAATAGCTGAACAATGGCATTGAGTAATAACTGCAGTTCTAAGCCAAAGCGAGGGGGCTCGTCTACATTGAATGTAGATGCAGTAGACAAAGGTTTGGGGATTGTTTACTATACACGGGCAATGGGAAGAAAAAGAGTTGCGGTTTCCAACTGTGCAGAGGTGTCGCCTCTCACTTCCCCTTCCAGAACCCCACTGAAAAAGCGCCATAGCATACGAAAAAATGTAGCGAAGTCGCTTCTTGAGGCCTTACCACAGGAGATTTTGGTAAACCCCCTGTCTCCAAGTTATTTGCTTTTGATTTCTTGTTTCTATTTCGCTTGATGGTTTCTGGGCTGACATACTTGTTATCGATTCTCACACAGGTCCAAGTGTTGTGTGGTGTAGATCATGATGACTTGAAGCAGCTATTCCACGTATCGAAGACGATCAGAGAAGCAGTAAGTTCATGATTTTGAGATTGTAGTCCAAATGTTTGTTATATTTTATCCAGTGATTACAGGAGGGATAATGATTTCTGTTTCATAAATTTACAGACTTTGATTGCGAAGCAATCTCATTTCGCATATTGCACTCCTTCTAAATCCTTGGCGGGTGTAAGGAGTTTCAGTGTTGTGGAAGATTCAAGCAAGCTTGATGCCGAGGAGGCACCGAATGCGCCGAGACAGCAACGGATTTTAGGCTCCCGACTCAACCGAAAGAAGCTTGCTGACATTAGTGTTGCCTTGTTCCATTCTCCCGAGGAAAAGCAATGGCTGAAGAACAGTTTACTACTGGAAACAGAAATATGAGTAATTTCTGGGCCAGTCTTCTTGTAAGCATTTTGTAAATGCTTTCGCTTATTGTAATTGATGTTGTGGTGGTTGTTCAGTAATTGGGGGTTCTGCAGACTTGTGTATGTAAACAAACGGTGCAAAGCCCTTCTTCAATTCCTTCATTGAAGACGGTGGAATGTATATGTGTATGTAAATGTCTCAGGGAACTCTTGTTAATTTATTTCATTGGAAGGGCATTTCCTTCATGTTTTCATTAAAATGTTTACAGATTTGAGAATGTAACAGTATTTGTACACCACTAACTTTCATTGAATGAGCTCCTCTCTTACTTTTATTACCACTATTTTTGTAATGGGTGAACCAAATATGTGTTGGTATCAACAATTTATTTCATTGAATGAGCTCCTCTCAATCTTAGGAAGATGAATTAGAGATGGAATGATTCTGGGAGTCCAAGTAGATCACTATTGTTGTTGGTTGATATCAATTTGGTGACCCACTCAAACTGCAACTAATTATTCTTTTATTCCTCCGGTATGCAAATGCCCAATTGTGATATTTCCTTAGAAAACAGGACAGGAACATTGGTTGACTGAATCAATTTTGAACTGTTTTATACAATTTGTTAGGAGTCAACTTTGAAGTTTGAACTCCAAACACAGAAAGGTGTTGTACTCCTTTTCTGGTAGAGAGAACCAACCCCCATTTGGGACTGTTACCAAAAAACCATTTGACACTACAAGACCGTTCACATTGGTGTTTAGTTCACGTTTCAATTATGAGATAACATATGAATGGTATCAGTTTTTCGCATTCCAAGAACTTAAGAGCCCTCTTATCAATAAATTGAATCCTATTATGGTCCATTTTTTTTTGTGTTTCCTGGAAATTATATCTTTCCCATGTGCAAGTATAAGATGGAGTTTTTTTCTCTGGATTTGTGGATGTCTATTTTGTATGTCCCACCGTAATGCTCAGTTGGTTCCTCAATCAACTCTATTGCAGTGCAATTCCATTTGCACTAGTACAAAATGCATGGAAATTTAAATGAGAAGAATATAATTTCTGGTTTAGTTTTGTTGCATTTTAACTTGCTTCAAGTTTCATTTCACTTCATCTATAACCCAAATAAAATAAAACCAGGAAAAGGCTGAAATAAAAATAAATCAGAATTTGCACGCAAATCATTTGCACTCTCACAACCAAGCAAATGGAAATTATGTAACTGCGGATACAAATAAGCTAGGTCCTAAATTGTTTACAGCAATGTCGTCAGACGTGAAAGGAGGCAAAACCGTTTTGATTTCTCAATCATGGTCGATTAGTCCAACCATCCAGATTGAGCATTTGACTTAAATAAGAAATTCAAAAATAACAAAAAAAAAAATTAGCATACAATTTCATTTTAAGTTTTTAAAGTTATTTTATATAAAAAATCTTAAAATATAGTCATTGCAAGTTATACAAGTATTAATACATGCATTTGAGATAGGGGTGCTAGTGGGACGGGTTGGGCCAGGTTTTAGCTCAATCCAGGCCTAAGCCTATGAATTGGGCTTATAGCCCGAGCCCAAGGTCAAGCATGAACTATCCAACCGAAGTCCAGCCTACACTAAAATTTGTTGCATTTGGATTTGGCTTGGGCCTGGCTCAGGTTGGTCAATCATTCATACAAAAGAACTAATATACATGTATGAGTATAGTATATGCATATTACTTATTAAAAAAATATGTATATACATGCATATAATTGAGCCGGGCTTGGCTTGGGTTTGGGCTATCTATGGCTAGGTCTGAACCCAGCCCAAACAATTACAAAGCCTGAAATTCTAGACCCAGGCCAAGTCCAACAATTGAAAATTTAAGCCCAACCCGTATAAAATTGTGGGCAGGGTTAGACTGGGCTTGAATTGGGCCCACCCAAGTTGCACCACTATTTTGAGACGGGGTTGATTAAATCAACATTTATAATAATTAGGCACACTTGACAAAAACACTGTATAAACACTTTGCAAATTTTCTGATTCCTGTGCAATAAAAACGCCCATCCTACCCATAAAAACTGTTTTGGCTGCCAATTCCCAATTTCCCAGTTCTGATGCTCCAACCATCTGGTCCGGCCACATCTGACAATACTGGTTTGAAGAGGTGGATTATCATCTTAGCAGCTTCACTAATAGTTTTTTGCATGTAGATCCCACAAAGGCAAATGCACTCATTATTAATGCTCAGATTACAACTCAAAAGAATACAATTCAGCAAGAAGTTCCAGAATGGAGAAACATAAACCCATCATCACCATGTAGACCAAACTGCTGAAACAAGAAAACAGTAAAGCTGAGCACGGGGAGAGAAATTAAAGAGATCTCTGCAAACAGCGCTAAGATTTCTGAAACGCCAAAAAGGAGAAACAACATCCTCCAACAGAGACATTAATAAATTAAAATGACCAGACTCCCCTCACCTTGGGCTTGAAAGATATCAAAATGCCAAACAAACAAACCCCAACCTTGGCAATAAAATATGATCTTCAATTCTTAGATGTTTGCAAGAGAAGAGCAAAGGCCTTCTCCTGCAGAAGTGGACATATGAAAGCAACCGCGCACATCTGCAAAACTAGCGGCCAAGGGCCAACTCAACCAAACCGATAAAACCCAATAAAGCCACGTCCTCCCAAACTGCTTCTTTGTTGGCGGAAATTTCGTTCACAAAAGCATCCCTTTCTATTGCAGCCGATAACGGAACAACCTGTAACTGTTGAACGCCGGCGAATGTTTCCGTACCAAAATCATCATAAAAAGCAAAACTACCTGGAAAAACAGTAACTCCGGCGATGAAACTCACAGAAACAACACCCACAATGGCAATATCCAAAAATACAACGAACAGTAGGGTGAAAAGAGCACCCTTGATCATGCCCCTAACAACATCCTGAAGAGACAAAACGCCATGATGTGGCTGACCACTAGAAAATGTAACAATTCCAAGTGCACCGGAAATGATAATGCCAATGAAAAACCTGCAGGAAAAGTTCCTGGCCGTTATTATTTCCGATGTCATTCACTACATCATCACTAGTACCTTGTTTTCTTCCGAAAAGAGAAGATATGAGTAACAACCAGATCCACAACAATGGCATATGAGGATGATTGATACCACCATGACTTCCTGAGATTGATAGAGACACGAACAATATTGCACGTGGAAAATTGGAAGAAGATAGAAACTACATCTAGATTAATATAATTTAGATCTGTTGTAACAATTCCACCCACACAAAAAACAGAACGAGATGCGAGAGGAAGACCCATCGAAAGATGGGAAGAAAACTTCTTAAACCCTTGAAAAGATGAAATGCGTTCTATATCTAAATTATAATTTTTTTTTTAGGTAAGTTGTGAGAAATGTATTGCATTAAATTGCCAATTTCTCACTATGACAACCCAGTCAGTGCTCCTTCCTCATCTTAGCAAAATCTGTTTTGATAGGAGAGTGTCTTTTGGATTTCAATTTCTTCTCAATTTGCTGCCATATCATTAAACATTGTCTTATTTGGGGATGGAATGTTACGTCCACAATGAATTTGGTGGACAGTTCCATGATCTCGACTGTGTTACGACCTACACTCTTAACAATATACCCTTTGTTTCCATCAAATATCTCATTTTCCTCGCATCCTGCAGCCTGCCTGCCCTGATGCAGAATATATGTTTGTCAAAAGAGCATATACTCTACTTCTATCTTTATCAAGTTCTAACTGAATCAAGTGTTTCTCCACAAACTCTACCATTTCAACATTCCAATTATTGTTTCTACTGCTGGCCATGAGTGCTCCCCAAAGCGTACAAAAAGTTCCATCGTCAACCCATGATACATTGATACTCAACCCTCCGTGTGATGCATTGTTTCTATTTATCAGGGTGAAGAAATGATGCTTTTGATGTAAGTAAAAGCTCTCTACACACTCTGAAAGCATGGGAGTATTGACACAAATTTCGTGTATTTCAATTAATACAAAATATGGAGACAAAATACAAAAATAAATTTGTAATAAAAAATATAAGGGAGTGAACTCTTTTTGATTTTTGGTCGATGACGTGAGCAACCTCTAATTAACAATTGAATTCGGTGAAGACAAGGGTCGTTGGTGTGTTTCTCGTACTTCTTAAAGTGTTGATGTAGATTTCTTTGATTTTGGTGCTTTGGCAGATTTTATGTAGATTTCTTCACTTCGGACTTTGCACTTGACTGGTTGTGAAGGATGTTTCTCTAAGAAGGGCCCTTTTGTGGAAGCTTGATGTTCTTTGGAGAGCTTGAATCCAAGTGTTGTAGACAACGAATAAGTTTTTTCCTTCTTTCTTCTCTCTTGATCTTGCAGTTGTTGGAGTTTGCAGGAGCTTGTAGTTGCTTGCAATCTTCAATGTTGATGTCTAAAAGCTTCTTGCAATGTGATTCTCCAAAAAGAAGAAAAGAACCCCCTTTCTTTGTAGGCAAAGCTATTTATAGCCAAGCATTAAGGCTACCACCTCAGCCCACTTAGCTAATCAATCCCATGTGAGTGGGATGTTGGGTTAGCATTAACTCCTATACATGCACCATTATGTAGGAGTTAGTGGTCTTGCCAATGGGACCACCCTATTACAATAGGAGATGTGACTGATTGGATTTAATACACTTGGATCCTTATGCCATCAAGACATATTTATGTAGATTTGGGCCTTGGGCCCATGGAGGCCCATATTATTTAGAGGTTTTCATGTAAATTAAGTCCACTTATTTGACTTAAAAAAATTCACATGTCTACAAATGCCCCCTAGAGGATGAGGTGACGAAGTTCGGTGCGGCGTTGATGTTCTTGACAAAGTTGATATCCATGTTGGATGGTAAATTGACTTGAATGTTTGTAGAGATATTGTTCAGCTTGTGCGCATTGAGGAGATGTCATGACATGTGGCTAACCTTGGTTAACTAAACCCCAAAAGAATTTTCAAGACTCGTAACCAATACTCCTTTTACAGAAGTTGGTCTATGTGATGATCGATTTCCATAGAGTCCTTTTGCTTCTCTAATTCTCTTACTTTATTAGCTGCCGATACAATCCATTAGTTGGGGTTTTCTATTATCGTATTAGAGTCTCATAGGTTGTTGGCTCCTAGTACAACACAAATCTCCTTCTTTATAAATACCCAACCTTCCATCAAATCTTTGTTTATTTTCTATTGACCACAAGTCTTGAAGCAAACATTTCCTTTTTGATCCACAAAAGTCTTCCTTGTTACTGTCTTCTGTTGTGAAGATTACAAGTTCATCGAAACCATCGGATCTTACACTACTAGTGCCTTCAACTGTTGCTTCCTATTGAAATATAATTGGGGCCAATGAATAGTACTCGT